ATCTAAATAAATGCTAGATTTAAAAGAAAACTTAAGGAATCCGTCATGGGATTAAAGGAAGCATTGCATATAGGAATTGGAACGTGTTTTCTCATAAAGTTAATAAGAGGATTGACTTATGGAGAAACATAGAAATTCTCATGAATAAGAAGTTTAGTGGGAGAAAAAGTAAAGGTCTAACGAGAAGTTTACGAACTCTATTGTGAAACAACAATCAAATGCTAAATGTTTAGATTTGAAAGTATTTTGACAATGGACCAAGCTGAAGGCGATACTTAGTATACATATTGGAAATTAAGTTCTATGGTATAGACATAATTAAATGTTTAAATGAGTAAAGGAATTTACTATATTAACCATGAAGGACTTTGAAAGGCTTTCGACCCATATGTATAAAACTAAGTAAATGTTGGAACTAAGTATAAGCTACGCTAAATACTAAGTCAAACTAGAAAGACTCTAGTAAGAGACTTTCAACCATATCACATAGCGAACAATTTAGCAAAGACTCAGTGAAACTAAATGAGCTAAAATGGCAAATTGATGGAATAAGATTGAGAATTACTCTGCAATTTAATCCATCATGTACGTTGTGACATGGAATCGTCGCAGGACTTACTTGCTTAGAGCATGTGAAGTATGTATGAAGCACTAATCAACCTAAATCTATGTATTAGATCGTTAGATTATGGCCAAGAACATCCAAAGTACTTGGATAAGTAACAGGATGAGTTCTTGACTTGTGGAAACAAATACGATTTGAGAATTGATGTTGCAAGCACAAACCTTAACAAGGATTAGATCCTTAACAAGGAAGTCGTTTATAAGCACGAGCTAACAATAAGTCGTGGCTTGAGAATGGTAACATGGACGTGGATCCATGTGTAATGTGCAGGAATTTAAGGAAAATTTCCATGATCACAAGTGATTAGGGTATCCCAAATCATTGTGAGCCGTTTGGAATGAAACCCAAGCAAAGCATCATCAGGAAGTCTACTAAAATATATGTTGAGAATATTGTTGCCTTAATGGCGATAATAAAGAAGATGTTCTATGGAAAGTTCGTTGCTGAAAGTTAATGATTGTAGGTCGTCAAGTTGAAGGTCTCAATCATGAAAATGAGTGGGAGCCATCACTTGGACAATAAATCCTAAATCACATATAATCCATGACACTCTCAAATTTTATCATCGTATTATGAAAGTGATCTGTAATGAAGATGCTAAGATTAGCAAAGTAGTTATAACTAAACCTATGCAATGAGTGAACGACAACATTCACTATAATTGCATGAAAGAAATCAAGCATATTAGATATGGGTGTGATTTCTATAGATGTTTTATAAAGAGTGATACTCTTAAAACATTCGGAAAAACCATTTATCATAAGATGAACCATTTAGGTTTTGGAGTAATTTAAAATTTCATGCAATTTTATCACTCCGCTTGCTATTTAATTGTGGTTTAGAATTAAATAATGAGTCCATTTGATTATTGGAATATTCAAAATAAGGTATCAAGACCAGTCTTGGTAAGGAAACACCTATTAAGTGAACATTGAATATTATATTCGAAAATTATCCCTAATCAAGGTCATTTAAACAATGGACGATTAATGACCAATTGAGATTAGTGTGTAGTTTGATTTATAGCACTGTTTCTTGTGCTACAAGGACATGATTGTCATAAATCATTTGCACAGGTATTGGTTTAGAACCATACTGGATCAACCTATGAGAATACTTTAAGAGATTAAAAAAAATCGTCAAAAGTATACTTCTCATTATGGCTAACGGAACCTATTTCCTCGACCATGAGTATTGTGAGCTTTCTTATTTGAGTACTAGTTCGCTTTGATGTAGTCAAATGTCTGCCGTAATAGGGGATTATAACGGCAACAATCGGGCGGCTAGGTCCTCTCAGTAAGAGGAGCTACATTACAAGACTGGGAATGTCCCCTTACTAAAATAGGGAAGATGTCTTTGTTGTATACAAGGCCTCTCGTAGAGCGAGACTGTAAAAATGCATGGCCGTGCTCGGATGGATTTTAGAAATCATCTATTTATTGACAGTTGGACTCGAAATCGAGAAAACTTCTAGATGTAATAAGGATGACGAAATAATCTTACCTTATAGTTCATGAAGAGACATTAAGAGACATAGGAAAAAGGATGTACACTAAATGCGCACTTGTCCGGAAGGACAAGTGGGAGATTGAAAGGAATGGTGTCCTTCGAAAAAGTGTACTATTCCGTTAGTGGGTTTAGAATTATTAGAAAGATAATATATTCAGTCAGGTCAAGTGATCGGAATGCCTAGGTGGAGGCCGCTTCCGATCAGTAATATTAATGCATAATTAATATTATACCTTAATCTTGACTGAACCCTTCGGGTCACACCCTTAGCAGTAAACGAACCGACTCAACAAATTAATTCGGAAGAAATTAATTCATCGCTCAAGTATTAAATATTTAGACGTTGATAATTCGATCTTGGAGCGTCGAAACCGGCCGTTAGAGAATCTCAAATGTCGAGCCAATTTAGGATTTAGCGAGACGGAAATATGCTTCAAGTAACAAGTAAAATCCAAGCCACTTGAAAGGCTAGGAAAGCGCGCCTAATATGAGCGTGCCACGTGGCAGCACACATGGCAAAACTCCATGTGGCAGCCACGTTGGCAACGCGCCACTGTGGCAACACATGTGGCAAGGGCCGTGGACCCGGGGCGATGGTCATGGACACGGGCCAAAATAAAATAGCCCAACCGAACCCAACTTGGGGCTCAAGGTTGGGTGACACATGGTTAGTTCACATTGCATGTGAAATGCCTTGGGGACCAAGTGGGAAAGTGGTCCTCACCTAACCATGGGACACTGGTTACTTGTTCCTTGGTTTATTTAACTAAGGATTGAATTCATCAATCTTTCCATGTGGGATCTTTTTGTGAAAAGTCCAACATTGAAACATAAGTGGAATTAACAAGCTATTCTTCCTTATAAATAGCCAAAGCATGGCATGAGAATTGCTTGCTTGAGTAGGAGTTCAATGGAGCATTGCATTAGCAAAAACTCTTAAACTCATATAATACTCGGATTTTGGTCGGACCTCGCTAACCTCGAGGTAACGGACCTAAAAGTCGCTGGTAGTTTTTGCGGGTGGATTTCCGTAGGAGGTTCGCGTATTTTCGGAGCTTAAGCTTTCAATTAAGAGCCCGACTTTGAGGGCGAAGCATGCTTCAAAGGTAAATTTCGATTTTATCCTTTTATTTCTATTTGTTATGCTTTTTGGTTTTATTAATTGCGAGTGGTTCTTTGGGTCGGGGTTGTTTTCGCGGTAAGTCGGACTTACCAAACCCCAACAAACCGGACCCAGTTTAGTATTTCGGCCATAACTACCTCATTATCTATCAGAATTATGCTTATAATATATTGTTGGAAAGCTCTTTTTGATCCCTATCCAACTACACCATTATTAGACCCTTGTTATGGACCAAACTAAACTATATTGGGTATTTCATAAAATAGAGTAGGTTTTCGAAAACAGAAAGAAAGATTTTTATTAAAACTAACTGCAACATTAAACTTTCTACACTTTCACTTCATTCGATTATGATTTGACGCGAAAGGTATTCTTCACTGGGTTTGGTTTTAGGGAGACACAAATCGGTGTATACTGTTAATTTTCGGAAAAAAAAAATTAAATGAAAATATAAAAAATTGCCACTTGTCTTCTCCTTGTTTGTCAATATGCTCGTGTGCGGAGGTTATCAGTGACTTGGAAGAAGGAGTATCCTCACCCCATGAGTCACCTTTCACAGTGGTAAGCTAGCTCCAAATAGAAGAGATAGTGTTGTGGGGAGGATCTTGAGTCACCCATTGTGGGTGCTCTTAGGGCTTGTTCTCTGCAGATTATTTTCAGTTCACTTCAGCTCAGATCAGCTCCAATAAGTTCAGCTAGTTCATTTCACTTCTTAATATCCTTCTCTCAAAAAATATTCACTTCATTTCAACTCAGTCAATCAGAACAGGCCATTTATTACTACTACGATTTTACGAAATCTTACGGTTATTGTTTCAATTAATTACAATAAGTTCTATCCAATTATATTATATTTTTATTGATAAAATTTGTATCTTTGATTATTTGTGCCTCATCTAGGCAACTCGAACAGGGAAGAAAAGAGTGTGGTCCACAAACAAGGCTTATGAGCTTCCGTCCCAGAATCATACTCGCTCCGTCCCCTTTTAATAGTCCTTTATGGACATTTTTCACGGGAATTAATAAATACAAATAAGAATATTTAAAGTACATCGAAAAAGTAAATTGACATTGGGTATGCAAAAAAGTAGAGAGAGAAAGTAACAAATGTATATTGGATAACAAAATTTATATGGGAAAGTTAAATTTGCCCAAATATTGTTGCAAATTGGAAGGAATTTTGGTAAAAATTTAATATTAATGATTGTTGGACAAAGCAAATAGGGTAAACATTTTGGATTAAAATTTGTCCATAAGGGACTATCAAAAGGGGACGGAGGGAGTATGATAACAGGATGAGTAGCCCCTTAGCCTCATAAAATGCATGTTTAACACTTTTTTCTTTTATCAAGTTTGGACTCTTACATGTATTATTTGGTGAGCTAGATATATTTCAACAATTTTTTTAAGATTCTAACGAAGTTATATAAGTTAATCAAGTTAAATTTGCACTTGCGTTTTATCCTTCCATTGACCCATTCGAAACACTCAAATCTATACCTTAGATACATTTCAACAATTTTTGTAAGATTCTAACGAAGTTATATAAGTTAATCAAGTTAAATTTGCAGACTCCTTACTTGCTTTTTATCCTTCCATTGACCCATTCGAAACACTCAAATCTATACCTTAATTGCCAGACACAATCAAATGTGTCAATTGACCCTTAGAGTACTTTCATACAAGTAGAGAACATATAAGTAGGCTAATTAACCATACATATTTTTCTACTAGTGTTATAAATTTATAATAACACATATTGCCATAAACAATCAAATGTATGTGTCATCAATCCATGTAGGATATTTGACCCTTAGAGTACATTTGTACAAGTGAAGAATATATATAAATAGACCAATTAACTATTTAATAACTCACATTGCCATACACAATCAGATGTGTCAATTCATCTAGGATGGTACTTAAGAATACATTCATACAAGTGGAAAACACATATAAATAGACTGATTAACCATCATATGTATCTTTAATAACATAGTAAACATAATAAATTAATCAGGGATATAACACAATTGCTGACCTTAAACCCGATATAGGAAGAATACTATAGTCACTAAAACCAGCAACAGTGAATATATTCTCCCATTCTTGTTTAGTTCGTTCTTGTCCTTCAGTAACGGACATCATCTCCATATCAAATAATAATTGAGCGTCATCAAAGCCTTTGTAATTGTCGGTTTGAGGATCCACAACTATATCAATTATAATCACTTTACCTCCTTGTTTTTTGTTGGGAATTGCCTCTTTGCATTGTTGCAATATCTTTATGCAATCAGCATCACTCCAATCATGCAATATCCACTGCAGATTTTTTAGTAAAATGCACTGTTATTACTCATAATTTTTTTTTCAAAATTATTGATACGTTTTGTGGTTTGACATTATTAATAACAAATTTAATTTTAACTAGATTATAATTCATAAATAGAAAAGAAAAATATAATTACTCCCTCCATGTTTATTTAAGTGTTACACATACCAAATCTGACCGTGTTTTAATAAGTGTTACACTTTTTTTTTGGCAAAAAGTTCCATTAAAATACTATTTATCTTTCCTCTCATGTTCTCAACCCAATCGCACTACTACTTTTTTATTATATCTCTCCTCTCACATTCATTACTTTTCAATAAATTATTAACTCCACAATTTTTTTTTACATTTTTTATACTCCAACTACCCCATCCATATACCTCTTATTTTGTTTAAGTCAATTAAATTGCCTAAAATTATGTGTCGGTCAAAATATAACAATTAAAAAAAATACGGAAGGGATTAGAGATCACCTATTCACCATTAAGTTTAAGCATTACAAACGTAATTAAGTAACATGTTAGCTAATGTACAAATTTGTTTTACAAAAAAAATTAAGGAGAAAAAAAAAGTGAAAAATAAAAAACAAACAAACAAACTGTTGTGGTCCATCTATTTATAAGGTCAAGTTGCATAATATCTATCAATCACACAAATTCACAATTTATGTACGCACATTTATACATATATACATCCACAAGTGCCCAATGCTCATGTTTTTTCATCAAACAAGAAGAAATGTAGTGTTACAAAGTGACATTCCATTTGTCTCACTCTAATTCGAACAGTTTTGAATATACAGAGTTTAAAGTTATGTTGTTGTATTTTGAGTCATTAGTTTTTATTATGATTTAAAAGTAACTGTGAAAATAAAGGTAAATATTAAGCTTGAAAATGGTTCTAAGAACATTAATACTCCACTCCAAATAACATACGTTTTGTTTTTTTTTTTTTTTTTTTTTTGACGAGACATAAGTTGTTATTAAAAAAAAAAAAACAAATGTATTCGTTATTAGAGCCGGCTTTACTTTATTTTTATAAATAGAATACATGATAATTTATACTTATATATTTGGAGAATTATAATTGTCTGATTATTATAACATATCATGGTCTCAGTAGATACATATAGTTCAAATATTATAAACATTGTAAGTGGTGTAATCATAAGGTTTGGACTATCTATAAGTTATCATTACTAAATTATAAAATCATAAGTTATATTAAATATAAACAGAACTTTCCTATGTTAGAATGACTACTTAAATAAATCAATATCTATTAACTATTGCTAAAATAGAGTATGCTGACATCACTACTACTCGTGTGTCGCTCTTTTTATAAATTTTTTCCCGCCTAAATGCAATGATGATGTCAATTTTTTTTGTAGAGCTATCATATTTAACATTTTTGAAATTTAAATATTAGAAGCTTCAACATTACAACTAAACCTATCAATTTGTTGTAGAAAATTGAAACAATTTTAAATAATACAGTAATAAATGACCTCTTACATCGAATTATGTATTAGACGACGTTAAATAAAAACTATGCCATAATTTTGATAGAAAACTAAAATTTTAAATTACATTTTTTAACATAATTCTTATTTATATTCATGTATAATAGCCATTTATTTTTGAAAAAATAAAAAGTGCAAATATGTTTTATAAAAGTCATGCTTTAACCTAGTCTATAATAGCTAATACTAAAGAAATTACCCCGCTGACATCATCACTGCCATGTGTCAGCTTCTTATTTAAAAAAGTCCATCCAAAACTTTAAATGACATCCTTTATCTTCTTCTTCTCCATTTCAAGATAAAGCTAATATTAGAAAAAGCTAAATTAATAATATATTTTCCTAAAAGTTTTTATTACATTATTTACTGACTACAAAATTTCCTATGGAGGTGAGAAAAAATAAATTAATAATACGAGTAATGAAATTGATGGTTGGTCTCATTCGTTATCCTTCTTTCCTATATTAAACTTTTTCTACATACATAAGGTTTTGTGTGAGTCCAGTTTCACGTGAGTCCAATTATACTCTCATCCCCTACCCACTGTCACTGCTCAGTCTCTGCCGGCGACCTTCTCTCTCCCAACCAACCCCGGTGCTGGTGACCCTCCCCCACCTTTTCTGGCTTTTCAAACTTATCGTCACTCTGAATTCTGAAACAGAATATTTGAAGTTATTGCCCCAGAAAAAGCTTCGATTATCTCAAACCCCATTACTCTCTAAATTCAACAAGATTTTAAGAACCCAAATTCTCCGCGTTCTTCATTCATCAATTTCCCATAATTAAAGAAACCCAATTCACAGACCCCCCAACTTTCTCTCTGCTATTAAAACTTACAGGGTGGGTTTTTCTTAATTACTTTACTAATTTCTTTTTTGTTCTTCTTTAATTTGCTCCTGTTCTTCTTACTATAGTGGATACCATATTACCTTCTACTTTGTTCTCTGCTTCATCTCCTATTCTCCTTTTCTATCTCCTCAATGTCTTCCCATCGTTATCAGCGTGCAGTACTACACTGGATGAATTAACGGTGGAGAAATGGAGGGTCTGTGCTTTGGCAAAACTAACCTAATATATATCTGATATATATAACCTAATATCTGATATATATATATCCTAATATCTGACAATTAATGTAATTTCTGATATTTATAATCTAATATCTGACCATTATAATTTAAATTCTGATAATTAAAGCCTAATATCTGACAATTATAATCTAATACCTGATAAGTATAATCTAATACCTGATAAGTATAATCTAATATCTGACAATTATAATCTAACTTCTGACACTTATAACCTAATATCTGACTATTATTGTCTAATTTTTGACAATTAAGATTATTTTTCCTCAAATTTTTTTTTCTCTTTGTATGACCGGACTCACGTGAGTCCGTTCTACACAAAACTTTTACTTCTACATATTATTAGTGATGATGTGAGTTTGTATTTTCTACCCTTTATTAATTCTTTAAAAATTTTATAATGAAACAAAACAACTAAGCTAATATAACCTGAATATAATGCTAACATTTCATATATTTTATTTTAATTGTGAAATTAACTAGAATACTTTTTTTTACGAGAAAATTAACTAAGATACTTAACATTGTCTGTTTAAACTCAATTGATCTAACAAGAGAGAGATAATTATTTATTATTTTTTCTTAAATTATTTATATTACACACATAGGGTAAAAGCTTTACTGCTAAAGCCGCGCATCGCATGAAACTAAACTAGTATAATACTAAAACAGACACTAGGAATGACACATGTCACTTCCTGGTTCTGTTTTTTCCCTTTGAAATCTCCCCTTTTTTCATAATTTTATTTTCCCTTTTTTAAGCCTATGCCACAAACTATAATCTATATATGAAACATTTACAAAATCTTTATTATAATTGTAGTAATTTTGATTCACATACTTTCTATATATGTAATAAAATATTTTTCCTATTTGTTATTTTATATCTCTAAATAATACCTCTGTATGATATATCTTTATATAGAAAAATTAGTTATCCCTACATGTTTTAATAAGTGTTACTGTTTGATTTTTTTTCACTATTCATATAATGACATAAACTTGATTATTTTACTAATATATTAAAAAGAATTGTCGTTGTATAAGACATTGTTGGATTCGTTATAATGTATACTTTTATATTATAAATTTTCCTATGGTTTTATTAACATATAATTAGATAAATTAATGGTCAAAATCGTGTCTCGACATACGTATTTGGTCAAACTGTAACACTTATTAAAATACGGAAAGGATACATCAATAATCAATAACTATATACTAAAAAAAACACGTGTAATGACACGTGTCATCTCCTGGTGTGTCTTTAGGTTTTTTCTTTTTTTTTTTTTTTTTTTTTTTGAAAAAAAATCTATTTAAGAAACAAATCTCTTATTTATATAAAGTAATAATTATGTACATTAAAAAGATCTTTTTAAAAAAATCTTATTAACAATTATAAACTTACAAAGAAAAATAAAAAAAAATATTCCTAACATAAATTGTGACATGGAATAATTTTTTTAATAGAAAATACGTACTTTATTATGTAATATGTATTACAAGATTATATATTTTTTTCTTTGATTTTATAATAGAAGTTTCATGTTTAAATAATGAAATGCAAGTATCAAATCAACTACATATGATAATTTTGTTATTTCTTTGAATAATTTATGATTAGGATTATTGAAAATTACATAACCTAGTGATATTAAAATAGACGGTAAGAATAACACAAGTCACTAATTAGTGTTGCCTTTTCCTTCCAAAGTCATCTTCTTTCTCTGTTTTTTTTTTAGTCAAATATTCTTAGAATAATATTTAACATATTAGTATAACAGTATAACATTCCTATTTGAGCACCATAGTTTTATCATGTAATTATAATAATACAAAATAATTCATGTCATTCGTATTATATAAAATATGTAAAAATTATCACAATAATATTATTTTAAACCATAAACTGCTAATATAATTTTCTAAGTTAAATCATCAAATTAAATACATTTAAATTCTACATGTAAAAATGACAAATTTGTGAAAATTTTCTGTTATCACTTTAAAGAAATATTATATCAAATATGATTTAAATAAATAAATATTCTTTTTAACAAAATATATTACATTCTAGATCACATAGTAAAATACATACATTATAAAGAGCATTGTAAAAGATGCATTGAAACTTTGAAATTTAAATATTTAAGAAATGTTATATTTTTATAGTTATTTATTAATTTTTTTGACGGGATATATTTTTATATTTATTTAATCATGTAATATTGTACTTTTTTTATACTACCTCCGTTACATATTAAGTGCAACAAACTCATGTGCACAATTCCCAAGAAAAAACTTCTTAATGGTTGTTTAAGAAAGTAAGGGGCATATGATTAAGAGCATGAGAGAGGAAATGAGAATATTAAATTATTCAAGGGACTCCACCTTATCACCACTACCTTGCCATTCTCGCGCTGGTAGCAACACCCACCAAGGCACCAAGCCACCATAATCAAACTTACTACCCTCAACCCACCGCCTTCAAGGTCACTGCCCTCAACCCACCGCCCTCTACCTCACTGCTCTCAACCCACATCTCACCACCCTCGACAAACCCTCATTGATGTGTCTATTTTATATTGTATTTTACCCCCGTCCCTTGGTCGTAATTAGTAGTGTTTTTGGTTCTTTAGAGCCACTTTTATTACTAATTGGTGTTTTCTAGTGTTTTCGTAGATTTGGTTGACTTTTGCAGGGATTTATGCTTTTGGAGTATTTTCCCGAGATATTTTGGAGCAATCACGAACATTGGAGAAGCACGACCAGAGTTTATAGCCCAGGGTCGGTTAGAGCCATCAAACCGGTGATTAAGGGCTCGGTATAGGTGATACCGGGGAATTTGGACCGAGTATTCAAGACCCAAAGAGGAAACCCAGATTGGCCCGAAGAATTGGAGCCCAATCGAAGTCCAAATAGTGGCCCGAATGAGCCGCCCGGCCAAAAAGGCTAGCGCCCGGAGGCGCGCCCGGCCGGGCGGGAGAAGCTTAGTCTGGAGCCCGGTTACGCGCCCGGCCGGGCGCGAGATTAGTATTAGAGTCAAAAAAGGCGCGCCCGATCGGGCGGTGCCTCGCCCGATTGGGCGCGTGTTTTATTAGTTGATGTTTAACGTAGTTTTAATTTGTTTTAGCTTAGGATTTTTGTACGGAGTATAAATACTCCTCCGTAATACGTTTTGAGGATCTCTACTTCTTCTCTTCTTCTTCTTCTCTTTACTCTTTCTTTACTCTCTTAATTATTCTCTTAGAATTCTTTCTCTAAACTTTTGTCCTTAATTCTTCCATTAATTCCAAATTACTTTTGGTAACAATTTCTTCCCCTTTAATTTCAGTTATTTTATTTACTCCCTTGATTATGCTTTTACTTATTTATTTGATTAGTTTAGTCATGATGATTTGTGAGTAGTTTAATTTCTAGGGTTTATGGGGATCTAATAAATAATATGAAGGGGTAAATTATTGTTGTTGATTATCAATGCTAGATTAATTTCCTGTTGATTGATTTAATGCTCTGTGACTAGATTAGGCCTATCTTTTATGCATGAGTTTGACAATATTGATTCAAGAATCGAGAGATGAGAATTAATGTTTAGGTCTAGTTTCAATAGGCAAGTTAATTTATAAATGGTTAAGTCAAGATTCGAGAGATGAGATTTAATACCGGTAAATTAATTGTGTGATTGTAATACACAGAGAGAGCCCATTACAATCTGGTTAATTGATGCATTGATGATTGACTATTATTGATTTTATTTTGATATTGCATGATAATTTCTTGTTGGATTGTTTTAATGTTTTACAATTGCGGCTTGTAAAAGTATAGCAATATTAAATTGATGAATCGAGCAGATGTTAATTTGATATTAAAGGCTATTTTCAATAAGAACTTAGATCTAGTAAATTGCGAGAGCCTGTTGGATCTATGTTGATTAATAAATTGCGAGAGCCTGTTAATCATCTTATTTATGCAATGTCAATGATTGATTACTATGTTTTACCTTGGAGTATTATTTATTGGTGAACCTATGCCCTAGATCCTTCCATATATTGTTTTCTTCCTATTCTCAACCTTAGTACTTTAGTTTCATACTCAAACATAAATATTGGTTACTTAGATAATTTAGATTATAATAATTAATTAGGAGTAAAAAGACTTGTTTCCCTGTGGAGATCGACCCTACTTCCCTATCTACTTTAGTTAGAGGATTTAGGAATTACTTTTGATTAGGGGATACGACTTTACCCTGTTACTCATCGACCACCGCCTTCAACCTCACCATCCAAACAACCACGTACCATCGAACACTCCGACAACATTGTCGGCAATTGCAAGCCGCAACGAAACACTAAAAACTTACCTCCCCACCCTACATCTACCCGAAAATCCACCTCACTCACCTCGAAATCACCTATAACCGATCTAAAATCAACCCACCAACCCCGAAACTATCCCACCTACCCTCAAAATCAACAGATCTGACTAGAGCGGGGAGATGGGCAACGGCTGGAAGGGGGTGAAGGGAGCCGGGTCCAATTAGCGCTAGAAGGGAGTTGCTTTTTTATTAGGCATGAAAAAAGGACAGTTAAGGATGACGACAATGTGGTAGTTGTGGTGGTGGTTGTGGTTTATGAGGGAAGGGAGAGGAAACGTGGTGGATGTGAGAGAAGATAACGAAAGTTGGTAGTTGTGGATTGGTGGTGGTGGCTCAGAGAGATGAGAGAGGAAGTGTGTTGGTGTTGGAGGCTCAGAGAGATGAGAGAGGAAGTGTGTTGGTGGTGGACTGGTGGTTAGAAAGGAGGAGAGAAAATATGGGTTACAGATTTAAATCTTAATGAGGGATGTTAAGTTAAGTTAGTCAATGTATTAAATTGGATTAATTATTTAACAATATTTGATTTAATGTATTAATTGAACTTTAGTAAGGGTATGTTAGTAATTTCAGCCAAAAAAATTTACTAAAAATGGAAAGTACTAGTTTGTTGCACATAATGTGTAGCATCCCTTTTTGGCAAATATTGCACATAAAGTGTAACGGAGGTAGTATGTAGTATGTGGTATAAACAATATTGAATCAATTAAAGTTTTAAAATTAAACAAATGCAACAATCAAGATAATTTAATTTATATAATACTTTATTAATAAAATTCAAGAAAATATGTTTATTCTATCATGGTTTGACATACGAAATTGAGTACAAATGGACAAACTTTATTATAACCCTTTTATTGTTGTGTAGTGTTTATAATAATTTTGTTGATTTTGTACACAAATTATTATGTATATTTTTACATAAATAATGCTTAATGTATATTTTTGCATAAAAAAGATTGATATATATTACTATATATTTTTATTGTTATTTATGATTTATTATTATTTATGATTAACATAACAATAAATTAAGTTTTAGTAATAACTGCATATGACATGGATCCTAAGCTAGTTGTTCATGATTACGTGTTGATAATATATGTAGGCCTTTATATAATAAAAATAGAGGAAAATGACGTCTTGTACCTTAAGTAGGATGGCATCAGTGCGAGGAATAGCCTCAAACATATCACCAGAAACAAAGTTGACGTTACTACCATCCTTTTGTAACACTCCAACCACTTGTGGTAACTCAAGTACACTGCACTTCAACCATGGGAAGGCCTCAGAAATGGCCTTAGCCGTGGCCCCGTTACCGCCACCGACATCGATCAATGACTCAATTCCCTCAAGTAAGCCTTTAAAAAAGTTATTGGTTACCACCAAGCTTGTAACAAAACGAGAATCACTTTCCATGGCTTGGTTAAAGAAATCATTAAATTCCGCATCTTGGCCAGCTAATTCCCAAATACTCTTCCCATGAGCAATCCGGAAAGGATATATACCCTCACTTTTGAACCAACTACTTAAATGATGAGATGATTTTATAAGCCGTGGATCAAGCATTCCAAGGGCAAAGGGAGCTTGCGAAAGAGGGTGATCTTTCAACAGTAGTTGGGAGCTCAATGTAAGAGCAAGTCCTTCTTCGCCGTTGGCTAAAGTTTTCATACAGAAGAATTTGGAGGATACAAGAAGGCGCATCAAGCGCGAAAGAGAAGTAAATTTGTCAGGGAGAATAGGAAGTGAATTGGCAAGCTCTTTAAGAGTCATTGGTTTGGCATGTTTATGAATGGTGTCTGGAATGCCAAGTTGAATAGCACATTTTAAGGCCATGGATTTATGAAAGTAGAAAACATGACTCCATATATGTGCTTGAGCCTCTAGTAGTTGCTCTTTTGCTTCTTCTTCGGAGTAAATTGCTGAATCCATTTTTTTTTTTTTTCTAGAATTGATTGATATGTTGGTAGCAAGTGTGGATACCAATAACTTTATAATGACCTGAATATAACTTTATCTATAACTATTACTACAGTAATTACTGCTTACACTATCTACCGTCGGCTTCTTATAAAAATTTTACCGCCAATACTATTAGTGACATTATTCAACCCCCCCCCCCCCCGCCTTTTCGTTCCAGATAAATCAACTGTTTGGAAAGCTTTTATGATTAGGGCTGTACACAGTTTGGTCTGGACCGTAACCAAACCAGACCAAACCGTATTTTAGCGGTTTGGTTTGGTTTACGGTTTATAAAATTACGGTTTGGTCTCGATTTTTTTTGTAAATATGGTTTATGGTTTGGTTTGGTTTTGCAAAAATTACAAACCAAACCAAACCGTAAACCAATAAACCGTATTTTTATATTTATATAATTTTTCAATAATTTTTTTTTATATTATATTAAAAAAATTAGAGAATAAATAAAAAACCATGAAAAATAATAAAAACTATATCGTCAATACTCTATAATTAATGACTATAATGTAGTACTCATATGAATATCTTTTATCGTTATGTATTATTTTTATTATGTGTTAGCACTTGATATTTTTATTGTAACTTTGTAGTACAATTTAATCCGTTTGGGCTACTTATTTAAACATTATTATAAATTAGTGAAGTATTATTTGACAATTTTTGAAAAACAAAAATATCATCTCATCATAAACCGCAAACCAAACCGCACCAAACCGTATTATTATGGTTTGGTTTGGTTTGGTTTGGTTTGGTTTGGTTTGAAAAATTTACCAAACCATATTTTGCGGTTTGGTTTGGTTTGGACTCAAACCGCACCAAGCCAAATCATGTTCACCCCTATTTATGACTAATAAATTACACTACAATCAAGTACACATTATTAAATCAGACACTAATTAAGAATGACACATGAATGACACGTGTTATTTCATGGTGATGTAATTTCCCTCCAAATAATAATTTTCAATAAAATAAAATAAAAATATTTGTAGTTAGTTTCCTAATACATAAACTTATGCATTTTAACTATTACATACAAGTATTAAAACATTTTCTTTTTCTCATATTTTATACATTTTTAATACCTTGTGAATCAATTCATTATTTATTATATTTTTTTCTTGTAAAGGAACATTATTTATTATATATATACTTATATTGTTATTATAATTATTCAACATATGTGCATTGCACGAGGTTTAATCTAGTATCCTACTAGAAACAAAAGGTGGTTGCTCTTTCATTTCCCTTTTTTTTTCCTCCTACACAATTTTTTAGCCTTTAAAAACAATCTTCATCTTCTACATTTTATTAGTAATTGTATGAGTATGGATTACCTGTTCTTTATCAATTCTACAAATTTTTTATAATGACACAAAAACTACTAAATTAATGCTAACATTTTATACAATTTATTTAATAAGGAAGTGAATTAGAAAATTTAATTCATGTCTTTCAATTCATTTTAGCTCAAATTATCTAATGAGAGGGATCACATTTTGTGATACATAGTAATATAGTATATGTTTTGCTTAGATTATTTTTTGACGACATGCGTACAGGAAAAAAAAGTTATTGTCAAGGTTGTGCATTGTATCGGACTAACCTATTATATATGTATTATTATAATTTATAATCTTTATTTTCCAATTTCTAGTACTTCCTTGGATTTTTTTGTTTTTTATTTTTTTAGTGAGGCCCCGTTCACTTCGCTTTATTTTTGCTGAGCTGAAATTATTTTTACTGAAACAAAATTATATTTGCTGAACTTAAATTATTTTTATTGAACTTAAATAAATTTTACTGAACTGAAATTATTTTTGTTGAACTGAAATTATTTTTACTTTTTTTTTTTATTATAATTCTTCTTTAAGAATATTGAATTTTACTGAACTGGAATTATTTTTACTGAACTGAAACTATTTTTACTGGATTTAAATTATTTTTACTGGACTTAAATTATTTTTACTTAATATTATTTTTTAAGGTGAAGTGATCAGGGCGTTACAATTTTCAAATGTGGTCATTATTACCCTTTGTTTTACTCTTTTTTTCCCTATTTATTTTACCCTTTTTAATTAACCTTTTTTTCCCTCCCTCGCTTTTGTATGTGTTATTTTTAGTGTTACAAGTGGATATGATGGAGAAGAAGCATTGGAAGCACAAGGAAAGAGCTAAATGTCACGAGGGAATGCGGAAAGAGCAGTTAGGGGTGGGTTTTAGTTGTATTTTATTAAGTTGTTTAGTTTGGTTGTTGTTGTCGGGGTAACAATTTTATGCTTTGTATTGGATTAAAGCCACAACTTTGGCTTTAGTGTGTACTGCATACTTTGACCACTTATGGTCTATTAAATGAAATGCAATGGAGTTATTATCATTAGTTATGCAATATTTGTGCAGATTAGCAACAATTAGATACTAAACCTAAAGGAACGTACAAATTAAATTTCATGAAGCATATATAAAAGTTGAACCTCCCATTCTCTGTCATTTTTTACCACCAGTTTATTCTCGATTATGATTGGCTTGTACAAATCTTTGCAAGTTGCAATATGTGAGATCCTCATCTTTTATGGTGGGCTCCCGTACTCGATTGTGATTGGGTCGTACAAATCTTTGCATTATATTATAAGTGATCCTCCATTAATCCATTATGGGCATCCAGTAAGAAAAATTCTCCTCCATGAGTTTAAACATGTCACCTGCGTCAGTGACAGTAATATCTCCATCATGAATCACACACACAATAAACAAATATATAAGAGAGCGTGAGGGATAGATCAAATAGTTAGAGCTTCCCTCACGATTCTAGGAGGTCCCGGGATCGATTCTCACCCCGCCCTTGTGGCTTTCTAAACACCAAAAAAATAAAAAAAATAAAAAATAAAAAAATAAAAATAATATATATATATACATATATATATATATAAAAGTAAAAAAAATAAAAAATTGTTGAACCAAGCTGTAATACCATTGTTAGGAATTATTAGTATTTTCCCTCTTCGTGTAATAAAAAACGGAAATAAAAAATACGAATAATAAAAATAAATAAGGAAAAATCAATTTTAATGATCTCAATTATATGTGATTTATCTAGAATAATCTCAACTTTCACTACTAGAAAACACATTTATTATAATGACAAAATTTAGGCCATTGCAAAATAGTTTATTTGCAACGACTGTAATTTTGACGTTACAAATGTTTATGCTAATCTTCGTTAAGCGGGATTGAATATCAAAATCTAGGTTATGGATCAACTAAATAAAACCGCGAATGAAAGTAATGTGAAAATAAAGAAATGACACAAGTAATTGGTGACGTGGAAAACCCAAAGAAGGTAAAAACCGCGGGTAGAATGAAGATCTACCAAACTTTCACTATGGAAAAAGATGAATTTCAAGATTACAATGTATGCTCGATGTATGTTTAGTAGCTAAGCTTTGATGTCCCTTATGTCAATGGAGCTCGGCCTTTTATAGGTGATAATTAGGGCGAATTCTGGCCTTTATGAAGAGATAAGGTGCCTCCCCTATTTCTCGGAAACGTATTTCAAATAATTCCCTCTTGTTGAGCCCACTAACTGCTTTACCCTACTGAGGTTAGAATTGGTCTTCCTAGAAAATAGGAGGGCAGTTGTTGCAAATTTCGTTCATCGAAGGCTGGTTCCCTTTCGTCAAGAATTACCTCTTGTCGAAGCTTAGTCTCTGTTGCTGACCTAGGTTGATTTCTATTGACTTTTGTTGACTTCCCTTATCAAAATTTACCATAACATTTTATCCCTAATTGCTAAACATGGACAGATATGTACATTGTTGGCAATTACTAAAATAAAAAATTTTAAAAGAAAAATATTTCAAAAATTACAAAATTTAATAAACCATTTACTAAAGGGTAGAATCGTACTTCTTGCACTTTGGTGCTTTTACCTTGAGAAGTTATTTCAACTTCCCACTCCTCATTTAATCGTACATTTTTGCCTTTATTACTACCACACATTTCTCGCTCCCCATGAATTACTGCACTTTCTCTCTTCTTTCTCTCTTTTGCGCGGAAGTTCCCTGGTGATTTCCGAGGCGGCGAATGGCTTGCGATTCTTGGTTTTGTGCTTTTGTTAGCTTCAATTGATAGGTAATTACTTCAATTATTTGCTTTCGTAGTTCAATTTAGCGAATATCAAGTAAAATTCCCAAAACTAGGTCTAGGTTTTCACTTCGAATTGTTGAAAAAAGGGGGTCGATTGTTTAGAAAGAAAAATGGTGACCAAATAGAAGTTGTAAATGACTCCTGTTCTAAAGGATGAATTGGTGAAGATGATTGGGTTTCCTGAGAGTGTTTTTGCTTACATTTCATGAAAGGGTAAAAAGGTAAAACATTACCCCAAGGGTTTCGTCATATTTCGGTCTTGGTTCTTGGAGACAGTGGCTATGTTTCCATTCAAACCTCTGACTAGATCTTTCTTTGAATTGTTGGGGATAAGTCCCGGGCAGCTTATGCCGTCTGGGTGGAGGATTATTTTGTTAGTTTTGGAGGAGGTTACCAAAGATAGTGAGGATCCATTTACTTTGAAGGATTTGATAGAAGCTTATGATATAAAGATGATGAAGGATTGTTTTGTAAGTTTATTTAAGAAGAGGGAACCTTTGGTGTTGAATACTAATTGTAATGACAGGGGTTGGGCTTATTAGTTTGTCTATATAAAAAAGATTTTGCTGGGTGTTGACGAAACATAGATGACGGAAGGATAGCCGGAGGATGGTAAGGGATTTTTTTGGTACTCAGGTTTCTTAGAACTAAAGTTTTCTAAATGTTTGATACTGCTTTTGATTGTGCAGAGCTCAGTCTTGATTTTTTAGAATCGTCGGACAAATCTGCTGCCAAGGTTTAGCGATTTCTCAAAGTCGAAAGTGCAAAAAGGACCTTTGAGAGGACGAAGCGCCCTCTAGGTGAATCGTCAGGTCAAAAGCACATAGGTTCACCAAGCGCATCTCAGAAAGTCCAAGATTCAAGAAACAATGTCTACTCGTAAGTTTTGACTTACTTTCGTTAGTCGTTTTATCATTGTCGTTATCCATTTTGTTTATTCGTTGTTCGTTATTTTAGAATCTGCAGCGCAGGGTCTTCATTGGGGGCGAAACATGTCTCAGGCAGAACAGGATGCTCGGATGAGGAGGAAACGAGGACTACTTGCAAAGGATTCGTCCCCGCTAGGACAGAGAAGCTTTATGCTTTGTCGCCGCAGGGAATAGGGTAATGTACCTAAGATGATATTGGTGTCGTCGTCCCCTCTGTCAAAGTAACAGAAGGTTGATGATGCTCCGGCGGTTCCCAATGTGGAAATGCGCTTTCCTACCAATATTCTTCACCTTGGCTAGACGAATCGTCAACCTATGTTTCCCCCAATTTAACCAGCTGCTCTTTCCTGGTTCCCGTGAACATTTGGCTGGGACATCTACTCTTGATATTGCGTCGGAGGCTGCCTCTATTCATCTGAATGTAAGCTTTTCATCTCTTTTCTTTTTTATCGTTGTCACATGAGTTAATGTATGATCTATGTTGGTATTTTTGTTCTGGGCAGTGTTTGCAAAACTCATTGGTTTTGAGGGATAGGGTGATAGGAATAGCTAAGCAGATGAAAAGGTTGGACGATGTTTCAAAAAACTATGAGGCTAAGACCAAGACTGCGACGAGGCAATTTGTCACTCTGAAGGAGTTAGATGAGATGATATTAAAGGTGAAAGGTTTAGAGTGCAAACTGGAGGAGCAAGAGAATAATGTAGGAGAGATGTAGACACCTAATTGTGTCTCCTCAAAAGCCAAATCCAGTGATGAATACCTTTCACGTCATTGATTATCAAACGAAGTGAAAGTGTGAAAAGTCTTGTGATGCGGTCATTTTTAATAAAATACTTTCTTTCTGTTTTCGAAAATGTACTCTATTTATGAAAATAGCCAATTCAATTTAGTTTTGTCCATGATGTAGGTCCAATAATAGTGTAGTAAGATGGAGCTTGAAAAGACCTTTCCAACGATATATTATAAATCCAATTCCGAAGAATAATAAGGGAGTTATGGCCAAAATACTAAACTGGGCTTAAATCGGATTTTACTTCAACTCAATTATCATGTAGAGGGTCCAAAGCCTTAATCCCATTCCTAAACTAATTGAGATTAATTAGAAGCTTCTATAAGTTTCTAAAAGATCTTAATTATCTTTTTTTTTTTTGTTGAAAAGATAAGATTAAGGAATTCGAAATTGAATAAAACTTCTCTTTTTGAGAGTCATCGTTCTGTGCAAAATGAAAGATGTTATGATATTATTTTTGTGCCTCATAATCTTTATACAAATCTTATTTGGTTGGATAGATCTTGAAATTATCTTTCCAATGATACATTATAATATCAATTTCGAACTATAACGAAAAAGATATGAAAGAAATACAAAACTCTATCCAAAACTGACACCCTTCCACTATTTTGGCCATATGTTTTATTCTAATTTTTTTTTTTTTAATTTGATTCAAATTGAATTGGAAATAAGACTTCAAGAGATTTTCAACAACATATTATATGTCGTATTTTGACTTCTGGACCAAAAGTTACACAAATATTCATTAAAGGCGGATTTACACTAATTTAGTGTAAAGCGCACCTCATAAGGAAACCGTTTTTGCTTCCTTATTTTTGTTCACACGTGCTTTGCCATTTATTTAAAATTTACAAAACTAATTATTTTCTTTCTCTTCTTTATTTGTTTCAGAATTTTCTCTCTAGCACTATTCTTGTGAGCTTCTGGAAAAAGTAGAGCAGGGGTCAGCAGAGCAGAGCAGATTAAATTTCAACAGAGCAGAACATAGCAGATTCCAAGATAGTAGAGCAGAGCCGTGCCGAGCCGAGCAAAGCATATTTCAACATTATTATTATTATTATTATTATTATTTTTTTTTTTTGAAGAAATATTATTATTATTATTATTAATACTATTACTATTATTACTATTATGACTATTACTATTATTAATATTGTTATTGTTATTGTTATTGTTATTATTATTATTATTGTTGTTGTTATTATTATTATTATTATTATTATTATTATTATTATTATTATTATTATTATTATTATTATTATTATTATTATTATTATTATGTGCATATACCATTGATTTAGGTGAGTGAAAACATAAATGAATTTGTATCATTTTTAACATATGTTAATAGTAGAAAGATAAAATACCACAGTTTACTTATATATATTTCACAAAAAATTTTAAAATAAAATGATTTAATGAGTAACAACAATTTTACTTATAAATATGTCTTAATAATATATTTTAACCCTTTAAAATAATAATGATGTACAAAGTACTACTTGAAACAACCTTTTTTTTAATCGTTAAATTATATGGAAAGATTTGAAAAATAATTCAACTCAATGAACTAACAATCAATACCGACATAAAATGTTTCTACACATTGTGATTCTAATATAAAATGTTTATAAAAAAGAAATTACTATTATTATTATTTATTTGAAAAAATTGTTATAATTATTATAAATTATTAATTAATAATATTATTATATATTAATTCTTAATAGTTTGAATTATCAAATATTATTTTTGTTAATAATAATTATTATTATTAATTATTAATTGTTTTTATGTTTAATAAATATTAATTATTATTAATATTAATAATTATTAAAATTATTTTTGATATTAATAATTATTATAATTATTCAAAATAAAAAATTATTATCAGCAATACCATATTAATTATTATTATTGAATATTATTTTAAATTAGAGCAGAGCAGATCGAATTTCTTATGAGTAGAGTAGAGCAGAGCAGATTTCTTATGAGCAGAGCAGCGTAGATTTGATTTGAGCAGAGCAGAGCAGAGTAGAGCAGCTCTAAAGAAAGGGGTCTCTCTCTCTTCTTTCTTCCTCAAGTGGCGATTTCATTCGAGTTCTTCGCCGTGTTCAACCTCTCTTCAAACGACGATTATTTTCTTGTTTTTCAGTTGCAAAGTTGTTATTTAAGGTTTGTTTACTTAAATTTTTCAGATTTTTGTTAGTCTAAGTTGTTTTAATTCTTCGATTTTAGGTTTTTTTATTTTCTTTCTTTTTAATTTCGTTTTTTGTAGTGTTTGATTGCAATGGTGAAGAAGAATATTACAAAGAAGTCGTCAGATGATGCTGAAGGTGTGTTTTCTTAATTTTTTTTAAAAAAAATTTCAAAATTTTCAACTAAATTTTCATATTAAATCAGTTCTTATATGTCGAATTACTAGTGCATGTTATTTTCAGAGTTTGCACTTGCTTTTTTTTTTTTTTTTTTTTTTGCCTATTTTGTATGCAGATTATGATAATAGGATTTGAATTTTGAAGTTAATGTCACTAGTAGAAAAAAAGCATTAGGCACCACCCATATGGCATCGGTTCAGCCTAAACCGGTGCCAAAAACCGGTCTAGAATTGGGCGGCTTTTTACCAAAAGAGAAAAGGCACCGGTTCAGCCTGAACCGGTGCCAAAAATAAAAAAGGCACCAATTTGAACCAGTGCCATTCAAACCGGTGCCAAATTCAAAACAAAAAAACCGCGTCTTTTCCTCTTTTCTTCCTCTCTTTCTCTTTCCTTCCCTTCCCTTCATTCGTTCATCCCTTAGCTTCTTTCGTTCTCACTCAGAGTAGTCGTGCCTCCACCTTTTCCCTCCACCACAGCCGCCACCTTCACCGGCGCTTTCAGGTGTCGAAAACCACCGCCGTGAATCTCCCTGCCCTGCCTGCCCTCCACCGCCTTTCTCTGTGCGAAACAAACAACAACAGCTGCAGCGCGCACCGCCTCCACCTCCACCAGCGCGCACCGCCTCCACCTCCACCAGCGCGCACCGCCTCCACCTCCACCAGCGCGCACCGCCTCCACCTCCACCAGCGCGCACCGCCTCCTCCACCAGCGAGGGTCTTTTCATAAACAAACAAACAACAACAGCTGGAGCGCGCACCGCCTCCACCTCCACCAGCGTGCACCGCCTCCACCTCCACCAGCGCGCACCGCCTCCACCTCCACCAGCGCGCACCGCCTCCACCTCCACCAGCGCGCACCGCCTCCTCCACCAGCGAGGGTCTTTTCATTCTCTCATCCCCTTAGCTTCTTCCACCTCCAACTAATTTAGGGTAAGTTCATCTTTTCAAGTTAATTGGTTCATCTTATTTTAGATTAAAATTGTGCTTAGATTGTATATGAAATGCAAAGAAAATTAATGGGTTCATCTTATTTTAGATTAAAATTGTGCCACATTGTTGGGATAAAAATTGTATGTTTGTGCTACATTGCTGGCTGTGAAATTTGTTTATGATGCCTTGTTTTGGGGAGTTTGGTTTTTGATAATTGAATTAGTTTAAGGATTTATTACTGAATTTTGTTGCTTGGATTCGATTTCAGCTGAAGTTCTTGCTGTTGGACCTGGCCTTCGTGACAAGACGGGGAATCATATTCCTGTTGCTGTCAAAGAAGGGGATACCGTGAATACGGAGGAACTACAATGAAGCTTGGTGAAAAAGAGTGAGTTTATTTTTCTCCATGCACTTTTCTTTTTGTTCCAGATGGTGATTTCTTAGTCAAATTATTGTGATTGAATGCTTTGACTCTTGATCCTCGATTGAATATATTAGTAATTTTGCATTACCTTGTTCCTTAGTCGAGTCTTTGTATGTTTTAATGTGTATATTAGTGACCTTGCTTCTAATTAGTTGTGAATAAATTAGAAAATTGTGAATAAATTAGAGAATTGTGATTACATTATAGATTTGTAAATAATTTAGAGAATTGTGATTAAATTAGAGAATTGTGCATAAATTAGAGAAATAGTGATATTGCCACTTAATTAGTTGTGAATAAATTAGAGAATTGTGAATACATTAGAGATTTGTGAATATATTAGAGAATTAGTGACGTTGCTAATTTTTGTTTTTTTAATATATAGTTTCATATGTGAATTGAAGCAAGAGTTTAATTAGCTTGAGGACTACATATTGAGCTCAAGTGGGTAGTTGCTATATTGGTATGACTACTAAACTTTACTTACCTATATTTCTTTCTATTCATCCATTTAATAAAAGTTTATTCATGAAATTGCAACTTGTGTATTGTTTAATTGCAAATATATACAACAATATATAGAATACTTGAATTGCATCATCATATGCCTAGATACCCGTTCAAGGCTTTCTCATTAGGAGAAAGTCTTGAATAGTCCCCGGTTGGGACTGTTCTTGAATGTGTACTCTCACTTAGGTGGTGAATGTATGTTTTCTTTTCGATTTTAAGGAACATCTTGGCTTACCATTTCCTCACTATGTTCTATGGGTACATATGTGGGTAATTAATTATCTACATCGTGTACTTGGAGAACTAGGGGGAAATGCTGCCGGATTTTCCTTAAAATTGGAAAGTTGACATACATTCACTAGTGAGAGTAGACATTCAAAGATGGGTTAGGTTGGAGTGATAAGAACCCTTTGGAAACATGCATTTTTTCACTATATGAATGGTATATTCACGTTTTGTACTTGAATTTGATTTACATAAAATATGTAGCACTTACACATTATAATTATATGGTGCTATATATATGTTTAGAGACAATTTACTAAATGGAGAAGGATCGTGGTTGGATGTATGGTAGACGCGATACATTGGAATTTTGGAATGGGGTTCAAGAGTTTTGCGAGAGGGCTTTAGCTTATCAACGCAAACTGGGAGGCAAAGGCCTTTATTGTCCTTGTGTTGATTGTAATTGTGTGAATGTGGTCGATAGTGTTGAAATCATTAGAGATCATGTATTATGTCGTGGGTTTAGGCAATTATACCATGTGTGAATTTCGCACGGAGAAAGTGGAGAGTACAGTGGGGATCTTGATCGGAAGGATGTGCGTGTTAGAAGCACTGAGATTCATGTGGACGAGGATTACGAGAATGATGAGTATATTGTTGATAATGGTGAGGATGGAGCCGATGAAGATCAGGCGGATGAGGTCGAGGATGAACAAGTGGATGAGATGTTGCAAGGTGTTGAAGGTGAAGTGTTTGAATTAGTATCAGAGGCTTCCAAAAGCCTTTGTATCCCGGGTGCAAAAAATACTCCAAACTATCGGCCGTGCTAACACTTTTCAACATTAAGTCGAAGCATGGGTGGACGGACATCAGTTTTACTTCTTTGTTGACCGCATTAAGTGATATGTTGCCTGATGGGAATGAAATTCCTAAGTCTTATTATTACGCAAAGAAGCTCATGTGTCCCTTTGGTTTGGAGTATAAGAAGATACATCATGTCCTAATGACTGTATTTTGTATCGAAATGAGTATGAAAAACTGCAGGAGTGTCCACGATGCAAGCGGTCGTGGTACAAGCGCATGAGTTGCAATCCTGGCACGGAGGGACCTCCTGCTAAGGTGTTGTGGTATCTTCCCATTATTCCAAGGTTTAAGCGTCTGTTCTCAATACCAAAAGACGCTAAAAACTTGAGGTGACATGCAGAGGGAAGAAAGAAAAACAGAATGCTGAAGCATCCAGCTGACTCTCCACAGTGGAAGAACATTGATTTGAAGTTTGAGGAATTTGGTAATGAAGTCAGAAATTTAAGGCTTGGGTTGTGCACGGACGGGATGAATCCATTTGGCACTCTTAGTACCCAACACAGCACATGGCCGGTACTTTTAGTGATTTATAATTTGCCTCCTTGGCTGTGCATGAAACGTAAGTATGTAATGCTTTCATTGCTAATAACTGGTCCTAAGCAACCTGGAAACGACATAGATGTTTACCTTGCGCCGCTTATTGACGACTTGAGAAAGATGTGGGACGAAGGGGTTTCCGTTTCCGATGCTCATCAGAACAAGATGTTCACATTGCGTGCTGCCCTTATGTGGACCATGAATGACTTCCCTGCATATGGCAACTTGTGTGGGTACAAGGTCAAAGGGAAAAAAGCATGCCCCATATGTATTGATGACACATCAAGCGTATACCTGACTCATTCTCACAAAGATGTCTACCTACGGACTCGAAGGTTCCTTAGGCGTGATCACCCGTACCGTAGGCAGAAAAAGGCATTCAATGGAACCGTAGAAGAGGATACTACACCTAGACCATTGACTGGTGCTGAGATTAGTGCTCGGGTGAAAGGGATACGAACGGTGTTTGGAAAATCAGAAAAAACTGTGGTCTCAGCTGCTCTGTTTAAGAAAGAATCAATCTTTTGGAAGCTGCCGTACTGGAGAGAACATGACGTTAGGCATTGTCTTGATGTAATGCATATAGAGAAGAATGTGTGTGATATTCTTTTGGGGACGCTTATGAATATCCCAGGCGAAACAAAGGACGGAAAGGGTGCACGGTTAGATTTGAAAGAGATGGGGATTCGTCTAGAATTGTGGCCTCAAGAAAAGGTTAGAAAGGGGAAGGAGCCGAGAATAGAAGATGAAAGTGTTTCGAAAAAAGGGAAGGAGAAGAGCAAGGGAAAGGGAAAGGCCAAAGATGCGTCAAAGAAGAAAGTTAAGGGTAAAGGGAAGGATGAAAAGAATTATTTACCCCCGGCTTGCTATACATTGTCAAGGGTAGAGAAACGTATGTTTTGTGCATGTTTGTACGACATTAAGGTTCCATCAGGGTACTCATCTAACATGAAAAGATTTGTAACCTTAAATGGAGAATTGAAGCTGACAAGTATGAAATCCCATGATTGTCACATTATGATGCAAGTATTCCTACCGATTGCAATCCGTGGTATTCTACCGAAACACGTGCGGGAAGCGATTACAAGCCTTTGTTCGTTTTTCAATACAATTTGTAGCAAAGTTCTTGATCCTTGTACACTAGATGCTTTGCAAGCAGATGTGGTTGTGACTTTGTGCAAATTTGAGATGTATTTCCCACCCTCATTTTTTGACATAATGGTTCATCTGGTTCTTCATTTGGTGCGTGAGATTAAGTTGTGCGGTCCAGTGTTCATGAGGTGGTGCTACCCTTTTGAAAGACACATGGGTACATTACAAGATAAAGTACGGAACCGAGCTCACCCTGAAGGAAGTATAATGCAAGGGACAGTGGGTGGCGGACTACATAGCCCTTGCTCAACCTATTGGTCTTCCTACTTCTCGACATGAAGGTAGACTTGATGGTGATGGCACAATTGGGTCGAAACGAATGTCACCAGACCGAGATCAGTTCTTACAAGCACACCTTTATGTGTTGCACCATGTTTCAGATGTGCACCCATATTTAGACGAGCACATGGCTTGTTTGCGTGCCGAATTTCCATCCAAAGATGAAAGGGCACTTATGCAGTTGCATAATAAGAAATTTGTTGATTGGTTTCGTGAAAGAGTAATGAGTGGATTGAATGATACTAATGTGACCGATACAGTACGGTGGCTTGCGTACGGTCCTCGGGTTGATGTTCGTTCATTTGAGAGATATGACATCAATGGGTACACTTTTTGGACCGAGGCTCGTGATTTGAAATCTTCCTCCACCCAAAACAGTGGTGTAACTCTTGTGGCATCGTCAAGGGAGTTTGCAAGTTCTAAGGATAAATCACCTGTCGATGCAGAGTTGTCATACTATGGTCAAATTCAAGAAATATGGGAGCTTGATTATTGTGACTTCACGGTTGCTCTTTTCAAGTGTAAGTGGGTTGATAATATCAGGCGTAACGTCAAACATGAGGACTTTACTCTTGTAGATCTTGGCCACTTGAATGATAGTGCGGAACCATTTATCCTTGCATCTCAAGCTAAGCAAGTGTTCTACGTAACTGACCCAATGGATTCAAAATGGTCTATAGTGCTAGCTGGCAAAAGAAGAATCCTAGGCATTGAAGATGTTGAGGATGAGGAAGAATATGATGCGTTTGATGATTCGACACATTTCACTGTTCCTAGACCTGTTGTACTAAATGACATAGACAACGAAGCAGGTTATATGCGATCAGACCACAACGAAGGAATTTCAGAATGATGTAGTTTGATTAAAAGTTAGTAATGGTTTCATTGCAAATATAGTTTAGTTATCATGTATACAGGAGCATAAGTAGGTGAAAATAATATATATTTGTAGTTTGAAATGCCTAAGTGTACTCATAATCATGCATATACATGGTTATAGGACCATAAGTAGGTGAAACTGGCATAAATAGCTTCTACTTAACCCAACTCCTTTGTTTTGTGTATGAACTAACATTTATTCATTCTAACAACCTATTTTCCATATGTAGATTGAAATTGGCATTTTGTACTCATTATCATGCATATACAAGGTTATAGGACCATAATAAGTAGGTGAAAATGGCTAAAATAGCTTCTACATAACCATAATAACTATCATGCATATACTTTACTATACACTAATATTGTTTTATGATTGCTTTGACACGTGCTTATATCTCATGGCGGACGATCATGATCCTCCTTTGGTAGAGGACATTGACGATGATGAGTATGAGGACGAGTACAAGGATGATGACTCCGATGATAGTGATGTGCCTTATGATGTGAATAAGGAGGATGACTTGGGTGAGCCAGAGGATCAGGCTCAAGATGAGTTCGAGCGTAGGCTTGACGATTTTGAAATGTTAGCTGAACGTGCACCGGCCATTGTAAATACAACACGTGAGATTGTTGGTGAGAACCCGACTCCTGAAAGTCAAGGCTAAGGACAAGATGAAAACAACATAGGTGGTGGAGGGGGGGAAAAGGCACCGGCTGAAAGAAAAACAAGGGGTTCGACGAGAAGTTTTAAGAAACCGGACTGTCCCATGGTCTTGGAGTATGACAACAAAGGCCAACCCGAGCCCAAATGGCGTCGACAATATGCTAATCAAGTTGGCATATGTTCGCGAAAAATCCCCATTACACTTGTAATGCGGCAAGTACCTCCGGGTTTGATTCAAGCATTTTGGGATGATACAAGGGTAAGTGTGTTTTTGGCACATTTAGACAATTTAAGATACCTTAACCTTATGGTTGTTACTAAATAGAAACTAATAATCGGTTTTAATTTGTGCTTGCAGAGACAGTTTTCTATTCCTAATGATCCCGAGAAGAAAAGGGTGTTTGTCTCTTTATTAGCGGAAAGATTCAGAGGCTTTAAGACCAAGTTGACTAATCGGTGGATCCACAAGAAGAAGAAGGTGCAAACAAAGAAGAAGAATGCCAAAGAGGATGACCGTCTCCCGTGGCAAATATGGCCGACCGTGTCAAAAGATGATTGGGAAGAGTTCGTTAGAATGAAGAGTCAAAAGAAAGCCATTGTAAGTTTGTGTAAATCTGATCTCAATTGAATAATAGCTTGACATTTTTTGTATTAATGAGACTAACATTTTTTGTTTTGTAGGAACTTCGAGAGCAAAATCAAGCGAATGCAGAAAAGAAGGAATACGTCCATCGTATGGGTCCTAAGACTTTTGCTGAAAAGAGACCTGAGTGGGCCGCTTCGGGTTTATACCCTAAAGCGCTTCTAGTGGCATCGAAGGAACCCTCTAGTTCCACGATCACTACATTGGTGAGTCGTGCCGGTGATTTATTTTTTTCTCTCCATTCGTTTGATAAGAAAACCGGAAAATGGTTCATCAAGGGTCCGGAAGCCAAAAAACTGGCGGATAAGCTTGTAAGTTACCTATGAATTGTTGAAATTAAGTCACTTTTGCATCTAATCACTTTAAAAACCATTAACTGTTTTATTGACCTCATTTTTCCTTATGCTATAGCTTGAGCACACTCAAGAGATGGTGGAGGGCAAATTTGAACCAAGTGTGGAGAATGACCCTTTCACCATGGCTTTGGGAAGGCCATACCATCCAGGACGAGTAGTAGGTTCGGGAGGGTCATTGCTTGGATGGAATAAGGTGATGTGTCCCGAATACACAAAATAGGGTAGATCTCAAGCCAGTGTTAACTCACCGGGGGAGTTGGAAGCCAAGGTGGCATCAATTAAGGAAAAAGTACGCAACGAGTTAGTTGGTGAATTGAATGCTTGGGCGAAGCTGATGAACTTACCGGCTTTGCCGTTCCTCACTAGTACCCCGGTTGAATCATGTTCTGAACCAAAAGGACAAGGAGAAGGTGGTAGACATGGAGGAGATGAGATACGTGGTGAAGATGTGCCACCTGAGGTAAAATCAAATGGGTTATTAAAAGTTTTAAAATACCGAGTTAATTGAGATTTGAGGTGCAATGATTGATGTACTGTTGCAGGTTCCTACTCCTACACATAAGGACTCGAGGGAGCTTGAAAATTCAACACCGCATGAATTACCAGAGTTACAGGTGATTTGTAACCCTCTACCTTAATGAACCGGTTTGTTATATCTATGCTGTTGTAAAAGTCCTATTTAACTATCTTATTTTTATATATATACTTGTGTAGGAAGACACCCGGTGTGCACTTCTAGCCCCGGGGCATGCAAATAGTACCGCGTTGAGTTTGGTGGCGTATGGTAGTGCCCAACCGACGACGGGTGCTACGGCAGGGCCACATCATTACTCGGTTGGGATCGATTCAGTGGTTGCGGGGTTTGAAGACATCCCACTACCCGTACCGATAGAGGAGGTTAAGATAACAATGCTTTGGCAAGCTGTAGGTAGCTTTGTTGATTGGCCACGTGCATGGGTGAAGTTGATTAATAAGGAGATAAATTATTTACTTACTTGCCTATTTTCTTCATTTCTCAACTTATAAACTCCTTGCATCTCAAAACAACTCATAATCACATATTTATAAGTGTTTTTCATTTGAAATTACATTAAAATCGCTAAGTTCTAAGGTTTTGGGTCCAATTCATCAAACTAAAGCCACTTTGAGCCGAAATGGCTACTCACTTGCCTATTTTCTTCATTTCTCAACTAATAAACTTATACATTCTTAAACCATATAATAATTACATATTTATAAGTGATTGTGAAATGAAATAGCATAAAAGAAGCAAACTTCTAATGTTTTTGGCGCATTTCATCAAAATAAAGCCAATTCGAGCAGAAATGGCTACTTACTTTCCTATTTTCTTCATTTCTCAACTTATAAACTCCTTGCATCTCAAAACAACTCATAATCACATATTTATAAGTTTTTTTCATTTAAAATTACATAAAAATTGCCAAGTTCTAAGTTTTTGGGTCCAATTCATCAAAATAAAGCAATTTTGAGCCGAAATGGCTACTCACTTGACTATTTTCTTCATTTCTCAACTTATAAAATCCTTGCATCTCAAAACAACTCATAATCACATATTTATAAGTGTTTTTCATTTGAAATTACATAAAAATCGCCAAGTTCTAAGTTTTTGGGTCCAATTCATTAAAATAAAGCCAATTCGAGCCGAAATGACTACTTACTTGCCTATTTTCTTCATTTCTCAACTTATAAACTCCTTGCATCTTAAAACAACTCATAATCACATATTTATAAGTGTTTGTCATTTGAAATTACATAAAAATCGCCACGTTCTAAGTTTTTGGGTCCAATTCATCAAAATAAAGCCAATTCGAGCCGAAATGGCTACTTACTTGCCTATTTTCTTCATTTCTCAACTTATAAACTCTTTGCATCTCGAAACAACTCATAATCACATATTTATAAGTGTTTGTCATTTGAAATTACATAAAAATTGCCAAGTTCTAAGTTTTTGGGTCCAATTCATCAAAATAAAGCCATTTTGAGCCGAAATGGCTACTCACTTGACTATTTTCTTCATTTCTCAACTTATAAAATCCTTGCATCTCAAAACAACTCATAATCACATATTTATAAGTGTTTGTCATTTGAAATTACATAAAAATCGCCAAGTTCTAAGTTTTTGGGTCCAATACATCAAAATAAAGCCAATTCGAGCCGAAATGGCTACTTACTTGCCTATTTTCTTCATTTCTCAACTTATATACTCCTTTCATCTCAAAACAACTCATAATCACATATTTATAAGTGTTTGTCATTTGAAATTACATAAAAATCACCAAGTTCTAAGTTTTTGGGTCCAATTCATCAAAATAAAGCCATTTTTAGCCGAAATGGCTACTCACTTGCCTATTTTATTCATTTCTCAACTATTTCAGATTTCCAATGGAAGCAAAACTTCAAAGAGAAAGAGGGTGGAGAAGCCTAAAAGAATTGATCAACCTAAGAAGAAGCTAAGTGAACAACGGTCCAAGAGTGAACAAGCGTCGAAGTTGCACTCTTCGAAAGGTTCACCCATGCCACCTACTCCACTTGTTGAAGACATTGTTCTTCAATCGCTCTCTACTGACATGACCTTTCTTCACAACCGTGCTTGTCATTTGGTCGATCCCATGGAATTTGCACTTCCTAAGGCAATGTTCCACTATGATGAGGATGCAATTGCATGGATCAACAAAGAAGATGTGAAGGAATTTCTACGTGGTGCAAAGATTAACATTTCCCTCATTCAAACATTCATGAGGTACTTCAATGCCCACATAATCTATACTTTTTTCAAGTTATTCAAATTGATGGTGATTATCCTACATCTGATAAATTATTCAATGTTCATGCACGCAGAGCACTACAGGAGCACTTAACTGACACTGATTCTCCTTGTAAAGTTGGGTGGTTATGCCCCGAGCAGTTATCCACTACTAAAATCATAGGCAACCCCCATGACGTGTTGTACTATGTTGAAAAGAGTATAAGGGAATCAGCGCGTGCGGGAGATAAGTTCATATTCGCCCCATGTTATAGAGAGTAAGCCTAACCATGTCAAATTCAATCGATTTGGCCTCATTATATGTTGAGTCCTAAATATTAATTACCTTGTCTATTGTGAACTTATGTAGGGAGCATTGGAGCCTCATGGTGATTTGTAATTCCACTAACACAATTTATCACCTTGATTCAGCTCGATCATCGGAGAAGTGGCTCGTGAAGTCTATATTGCAAAAGTAAATATATATAGCAACCTAGTGATGATTATTGCTAATAATAACTAATTTAGTAATCATTCGACTAATCAAATTTGAATTTACTTTTTTATACTACAGTGTTATGAAGAAGCTACATTGTCGTGCTCCAAAGGGTCTAACATGGAAGACACCATTGGTAATTGACATGATATTGTGATTATCTTGGAAATCTATGGTAGTAAATATTTTCTCATTTCCTTTGCATGTTTCAATGATCTGATTTGTTTGTCATATGCTAGTGTGCACAACAAGAGAATGGACTTGATTGTGCTTTGTATGTGATGAGATTCATGCTTGACATTGTGACTCATTGTACGGACACTCAACAGCTTGATGAGGTAAGTCCTAAAACTTATTGAAATGCTATATTGATGTGATTTCTAGCCTTAGACACCTAATATTATCCAACAATGACATGTTATGAGAAACAAAAAGGCTATTTCACAAGAAAGGTAGAAAATGGGCTGAATAGAAGTCATATGGGCCATATTAGGGCCATTTTGTGTTAATATGCTCTTTTGATGTGATTTCTTTCCTTATACACCTATAAATAGATAATATTGACTTGTAATGAGATAAATAAAGTTCATTTAATAAGAAATGTAGGAAATGGGCAAAGTAAGGTCATATAGGCCATATTCGGGTCATAAACCTTAACAAAATGCTCTCCTATACAATTTTAGGGCTTACACACATACAACTATCCAATATTGACATGTTATGAGAAAGAAATAGTTCATTTGATAAGTAATGTAGTAAATGGGCTATATAGAAGTCATATAGGTAATATTTGATAAAATACATATTGTTTGCCTAATTAATTATTTTTAAAATAATGTTTTTGTATTTCAAGTTTTGCAAGGTCCAAAATGATGGTCCGTTGACAATCAAGGAGCTTAATGAAGTTCGTGACATGTTGGCGTCTTTTATCACCTTCAACATGTAAATGGCATTGTAATTGTAAATTATTCATTATATATGTACTTACTATTATTTGTATATGTAAGCAACTTTTTTTTTTGTATTGCGTTTGGGAATATTTATATCTATATATATAATTGAATTCTTGTTTCTAATATTATTTTTGTATCTAGCTTATTGTAATAATTAATAATATTAGTATTATTAGTTATTATAATAATAAAATTATTAATTATTATATTTAATATAATTGCTGGAATTACAGGTTATTATTATTGCATGTTTTTTTTAAATATTATTGCACGATGGAAAAAAAAAACGAAAAAAAAAAATTGGTTAATAGGCACCGGTTAGGCAGCAACCGGTGCCTAAACTATTTACCACCCAAAAGAAAATGGCGGGAGAGCAGTTTTAGGCACTGGTTTTTCACCCTATGCACCGGTTAACCGGTGCCTATTACACCCTATGGCACCGGTTTTGAACCGGTGCCAAAAACCATGTTTTTGGCACCCCTCACATAGGCAGCGGTTCAAACCCGGTCTAAGGCACCGGTTTGCCAATTGCCTTTTTTCACCTAGTGTGTGTTTATTTTTGTTTTAATTTTTGGTTTATTGTATTTAATTGGATAAAAATTTCTTATTCATGTGTTGTTATGTATTAAACAACTTTTGCATGTTATTTTTTGCTTTTTTTTAAACGAAGACAATGATAATTTGTTGGGGTTTTGTGAGTTCGACTCACCGCGGAAACAAATCCAAAAAAAGGACCGCACTCGCAATAAATAAAACCATAAAGCATAAGAACTTAAAGATAAGATTAGGATAATAATTATACCTTTGACGCATGCTTCGCCCAACCTCAAGGGGCTCTTACTTCGAAGGCTAGCCTCGAAATTACGATAACCTCCAACAAAAGTCCACCTATAACTCGAATACCGATTAGGGTCCAATGCCTTGGAGTTAGCAAGGCCCGACCTAAACCCGAGTAATTAATGAGTTCAAAGGTTTTCACAATGGTGATGCCTTTTTCAACTCTTACTCAAGTGAACAATCCCAAGCCATGCCTTGGCTATTTATAAGGAAATCTTCCTTGTGAATTCCACTCATCATTCAATGTGGGACTTTTTCATAAAAAGATCCCACATGGAAAGATTAATGAATTCAACCCTTAGTTAAATAAACCAAGGAAAAAGTAACAAGTGTCACATGGTTAGGTGAGGACCACTTTCTCACTTGGTCCCCAAGGCAACTCACATGTATTGTGAGCTAACCATGTGTCACGAAACCTTGAGCCCCAAGTTGGTTCGGTTGGGCCACTTCCTTTTGGCCCGTGTCCATGATCCATCACCCGGGTCCACGGCCCCCTTTTGCCACATGTTGCTACCACCGTGGCGCGCTACCAACGTGGAAAGCTGCCATATGGCGCGCTGCCAATGTGGCGCGCTGCCACTTGGTGGCTGCCAACATGGCTGCTGTCACTTGGTGGCTGCTAACGTGGCTGCCACATGGTGCTGCCACGTGTAGTGCCATATGGCGTGCTTCCATGTGTGCTGCCATGTGGCATGCTCCTATTTAGCGCCCTTCCCTAGCCTTTCGTGTGGCTAGAATTTTATTTGTTACTTGAAGCATTTTCCCGTCTCGCCAAATCCTAAATTTTGGCTCGACATTTGAGATTTGGTTCTGGCGCTCGTTTCGACGCTTTAAACTCGAATTACCGACGTCTAAATATTAATTACTTGGGCGGCTCATTAATTCCTTCCGAAAAAATTCGTCTCTTCGGCTCGTTAGTTCCTTGGGTGTGACCCGAAGGGTTCAGTCAAGATTAAGCTGTAACATTAATTATACATTAATATTACTGTTCGGAAG